GGAGAAATATATATATTTTTATGGCCCAGTGCACCAATTCGTGCAGGGGTGGGGTCCTGCTAGCCTGCCCCAACAGGGGCCAATTGGGGGCAGGGCTGGCCAGGGGGAGGGGCCGGGGGGAGTTGGCCAGCTGGCCCCACCCCTGATCGGGTGGGTTCGCTGGCCTCAGTGGGCATCATAGCAACCAGTCGTTCAGGTCATTCCGGTGTTATGGTCGCTGGCTATATATATATATATAGATGCTTATATTTATGCCAAAAAATACTATCATCTAAATATTTCTACATGTTTTATGTAAGTTTGATATGGGCCTGAAAAAAAAACCCAAAACTTAGCTCAATTTAACTTTGTAGAAGTACAGACTTTAAGAGCTATTTTTCTTATCATAGCTAATAGTTTCTCAAAAAATGTTGGACACTTGCCTATTGTAATATTATTTTTAAATCTACCTGGTTTAAGGACCATCCACCTTTATTACTGATAGTACCAACAGAAGTACATGAGTTAGCTATATCCATATTTCTTAAGGTTGGGATTTGGGGAGTAATAGAGCTTACAGGGACTGCTGATAAATTAGCATATTCCAAACCCAAGTTTCAGGACAATGGATACGGTGACAAGGAGCATCGTGCAAGAGGGATGTCAAATGCACCAATCTGAGGTCATCTGGGAATACAGAGATCAGTGTTAAAAAGTGTAATGTTGTATATCCTCAATTCATAAACTTTTCTCAAGGTGATTTCATTTTAATGAATACTTCATTTTTTCAAAAGAAGTATCACTTAGGGAATGAAAAAAAGAATCCTAATAACACTCACGCAAGATAAGATCTCCCTCACCTCTTTACTTTCCCTCCTGAAATACAGTTTGATATTTCCATACCTCTCTATAGCCATTGCTGATTTGCTCCAAGCTGAGGGAATACACAAGATTCTTGCCTCCCACAAAGAGTCTCTCTTGATATTCATCCAGCAGCATTGTATGGAGATCAAGAAATCCAAAAGAACTATGAAAGATTGATGTTCTGTTTAATTCCAAGAGCTCTGAAATGCAAAAGGAAATGAATGCTAAACACAAGAGAAAACAAAAATACCTTTATAATACTTTTCTCATGGCTCCATTTTTTATACCTATTGGAACTGTGTAGTTTACATTCATTTTATCAGAAATATAAAGATTGTAAAAAGTATTACTCAAAAAGATTAAAAATACACCATGCATTAACAATTCTATATTGTATATTTGAAAGTTCCTAAGAGAAAAGTTCGTAAAAGCTTTCAAAAGAAAAAAATTCTAATGATGTGACTTGTGGTAGGTAGTCATTTAGTAACATATACACATATCGAATCAATATGTGATACACTTTAAACTTAACAATGTTATATCACAACTATATCTCAAAACTGGAAAAAGTTAAAAAATATTTGTTCATTATGTAAAAAATGGGGTGCAACTAGGAATATATTTTAATGTGCAGGAGTTAAAATCTTTTATAAGTTTATGAATCTCAAAACTTCAATTCAGCTTAAAGTATTTACCCTATGTTTTTAAATACAGAAAGAATTACTCCTCCCAGTCTTTAAAGTGCTGTGTGAAAAACTCCATTAATGACTTTTATATTTACTTCTCTATGTGCAACAAACATCCCAAATCTACAATAAATATTCCCCTTTAATTCCAGATAAACACCAACTCAGAAATTGGTTTTGAAAGTCATGTCCAAAATCAAATTGTTCAAGTCCGGAAAAGATCAGGTTTGTTAATACAATGAGGTAACCCTTGGTAGCATTCAGTATAGTGGGGACGAGTTTTGATAAACCTGGTGGGGATCTACTTTCTACCACTGTGTTTTGGCTACTGTTTATGCATTCTTCCCAACATCAGAAATTTCAAATTGTTTTTTAACTAACATACATGTAATTTAGGAAGTCAGAATCTGGGAAACACGTTATGTGTGTACATTTGTTTGTTTGTTGAAGGTATTTAATTGCATGTAGCAGTTCAGTACTTAAGACTGGTAAATGATATATGAGAGCCTTTGATGATGAGAGAGGATATTATCCCCAATACTGATACCATTGTAATTAGTCAGTTATTAATAATAGGAAATGAGTGAAAGGGAGGTGACACATTATAAACATGGTCACGTATGCAGCTTCACTAGGAAGCTTCAATTTCATACTCTCAGGGAACCACTGACCCATTCCCTACAGATCACTGCGGGAAGGGGTCCAACAAAGGGGAGACAGATGCATGCTCAGTGTAGTGGGAGTGACTAGGGAAGGTGCCTGTCAGTCAAACCTGGGGACAAAGATCATTGGTCAGAATGGGTAGGGCTACTGCAGGACCACAAAAATTTGCAAATACATAATCCCCTAAAGAAAAAAGTGCTCACTATCTCTATCTCTATCTCTATCTCCATCTCTATCTCTATCTCTCAGCTCATTTGGCTCACAGCTCGCTCTCCTGTTCCTGCTTCTTTGCATTCTCCCATGTTTTCTCTATAGCCATGTGGTCCTGTGGACCCCACAAGTGCAATGGACTGCTGGGTTGCAACTAGGAATACAAACCAAGTGAGCCTGATGCTGGGCTGGATTGCTCCAACATATAATGGAAGCTCCAAACATTGGCTTTGATTTCAGTCCTGCTAAAGGCAAAATGGGACTTCTTCCTTGGTGAGGCTAAGGGAAATCCAACCTTGGAAAAGGGATTTAATTATATGCAAATAAAAATCACTAGTTCTCCCATGAAGTCTCAGAAAATTCTTTTTCTTGGGATATCAAAAGAAGCCCACTCCCACAAGCAACAGGTGGGGACAAGGACCTCTTCCCTCCAATAGTAATACTAAACCTTGCAAGCTAGAGAATTCCTGAAGAGGACTCCCTGGGAAATATTGACAAATTAGAAAATGACTTCATTTTCTAAAGGTCGATGCCTTTGATAGAATGCATCTGATAGAATGGGGACTATAGGTGACCAGAACATTTCATTCATAGAACAATATGAAATATGACAAATCTACAGGATTCTGTACAATCTTATACTGTTTCTGAGAAAAGAGAGATGAAGTATCTTTTCTTATCTATTAGGGATATATTCACTGTTTATATCTCTACTACATGGATACCCCAAATTTTGTGGAGTAGGGCTAACTTTTAATCTTTAGTTTAAAATAAGCAATACTTGCAGAGCTCCAGCGTTCCTGGCCCAGCCCCTAAACCAGTGGTTCTCAACCTTCTGACCCTTTAAATACAGTTCCTCATGTTGTGACCCAGCCATAAAATTATTTTCGTTGCTACTTCAAAAAAAAAAATAGCAATGCTGCTAAAATTAAATTATTCCTTATAAAGGTAAAACTTGTGGTACTGAGTCATTTGACTATCTAATAAAGAAACTTAGAAGAAGTTCTGAGGAAGAGATGGAGAGAATAATTAGGTGCTTTATTTGGGGAGAAATAAAATAGAAATTTGAGAGATTTAGTTGTTCTTGAATCTTGAAAGACAAATTTGTCAAAATAGAATCATACTTTTTTCCTTCCTTGCTAGACATTCACAAATAACAGAACATGTGCATTTTAGGAATCAATCCCATAACAAAAATATAGATCAAAGCTATCCACTGCCTTTACATATACTCATGGTTTTAAACAGGACTGATAAGTGGATTCTTTTCTAAAAAACGTTTTCCCAGTTATTCTAATAGATTGCTAAAATTCCCCAAGTTTTATGCAGTAAAATCATTATCGGCAAGGATGCAACTGATCAAAAAATGGTTACGTATTATTTAACATTAACAGGTTTCTAAACTCTAGAGTTACCAAATATACTAAGGTTCAAAGCTTAGGGAATAAGTTTGCTGGAAAATAGAGAAAGTCATGAATGGAATCAAATATGAGGATTCTACCCTAAAATGTTGCTAGAGTGGATTAGTTCATGCCTAAATTAAAAAGTATGAATTGAAATGTAGAGGAAGCCCAGTCAGTAAAGGAGGCACCCCATGAATGAATTCCATTTAGGGATGGCCTTGCTTGTTTCCTAGTGATGTCATTAGGCCCTCATTACCCTTGTATACACAGAGAGACAAATGAGAGAGGAAGAGAGAGAGAGAGAGAGAAAGAGAGAGAGAGATCAATTTCCACTTGATTTTATGACTTGCCAATTTCTGTTGTACTTGCTATAATTCTTATAATCTAAAGGTGGTAGTTCCTATTTCTTTGTTAGAGCCCTGGTCAGTGTGGCTCAGTTGGTTGAGTGCCATCCCATGCACCAAGAGGTGGTTGTTGGTTCCAATCCCAGTCAGGGCACATGCCTGTGTTGTGGGCTCAATCCAGGAGGCTGTCGATCAATACTTCTAACAATGACTCTATAGCCTATTATATATAAAGCTCTCTTCAGGAGCAACTAGGGAAAGTCTATTAGGGGGTTATGTATCTAAAATCAAATGTATTTTCTAGAGCCTCATGACTCCCATTTGACCCAGTGATCCCACTTCTAGGAATATATCCCAAGAAACTAGAAACACCAATCAGAAAGGATATATGCACCCCTATGTTCATAGCTAAGATTTGGAAACAAGCTAGGTGCCTATCAGCAGACGAATGGATTAGAAAACTGTGATACATCTACACAATGGAATACTACGCTGTGGTAAAAAAAGAAGGCACTCTTACCATTTGCAACAGCATGGATGGAACTGGAGAGCATTATGCTAAGTGAAGTAAGCCAGTCAGAGAAAGATAAATATCACATCTTCTCACTCATTTGTGGAATATAATGAACAACATAAACTGATGAACAAAAACAGATCCATAGACAGAGAAGCATTGATCAGACTGTCAAACCTTAGAGGGAAGGTAGGGGAAGGTGGGAGTTAGGGTGAGAGATCAACCAAAGGACTTGTATGCATGCATATAAGCCTAATCAATGGACACAGACACCAGGAGGGTGAGGGCATGAGTGGAGGGCTAGTGGGGGCTAGGGGGATAAGGACCCATATGTAATACCTTAATCAATAAAGAAAAAAGTTACAAGATAAAATGGAAGGTTTTCCCAATATTTAATAGTTAGGCTTGTTATAGTTCAAAATAATTCAACAGCAATAACATCAACAGAAAAATTCAGTTTTCTATCAATTTTAATTGTTATTAACTTTAATTCCTATTTTATAAATTGTCTCAAATAACTACAGAATTTTTCATGCTGCTTTCATTTATCAATTCGTGACATTTGCATTCATCTTACTTTTGAGAAAAATAAAAAAATTTTTTTTCTTGGTGTATACTAAAGCCAAAGGAAGCTCGAGCAGAAAGCTTTCCTCCTTTTCAATTTTTTTTCTGCTTTTAGTTTTAGAGCCAGCACTTTCGGTAACATTATTAGTGATCTTAGCTCCAAATTATAGTCCGCGACTCGGCATATTTAGTAAGCGATGGCTAACTTCTTTATCCCTTCAGACTGCTTCAGGCTGCTTACATGAAAGAATCAGAAAACATACAGGAAGAGGGGGACAACAGACACTCTAATCTCAGGCAATCTCCAGAAAACACAGTGCAGACAATGGACAGGGCTGACTTGGTTAAAAGGAGGGAGCTCATCTTCAGTTCTTCTTCCTCTAAAAATAACATGAGTTACTTGGGGGAGGCAGTGGACAAAGAAACAAAAAGAAACAAGAAGAAACTGAGCTACGCCAACTCAGAGTTCATCCGGAGATTTTCTCAAGAGGGAGCTAATTATTATTGCTAAGCTGCATGCTAATTATCAGCTGTCAGTGAAGACATGCAGAGGATCTAGTCATTTCCTCTCCTGGCCTTTCTTCTTAACCTGCAAGGGAAATAGTTCTAAAACTCACCGACAGCAATATCTCACAGAGACAGTTCTCCTCACTTCATCAAAACATAGTTAAATTCCACACCTCCGTGTGTCAACGGGGTGGAGAGAGTGCACATTTTTTTCGGTTCTCAAACAAAAAACAGATCTTCAAGGGAGGGATGTTTCCTTCTTGAATGTACACTTCTTCCGCTGTCACCTGCAAACTAGCGACTTCCTGA